GACCGCGGGGGAAAAAAAGAGCGGGCGAAAAAGGAAGAAAAAGGGGAAGAAAACGGCGAAAAAAAGAAACAAGGAAACCGTAGGAGCCGACAACGTAACCGAGGGACGGTAGGTAGGTGGCATCGCCACCTGACGAAAGAATCCCGCGACCTGACTAGAATTTCATTAACCGGTGCCCCGGCAGAAGGGGACGACAAATATGAAGAGAAAAAGAACGGGGACGCGGCGCGGCCGCGTTTATCGGCGCGAAAGAACTTGTTAAACAGACCGTTTGTCCGTTCCGTCGTTTCCGTCGACCTTAAGGGGCTGCGGATGAAAATTATCCGGAAGGATGGCTTCACCGTCAAGCAGTTACGCTATAATTACCTTGCTGAAGGGTATCAGTCTCGCTGGAGCAAATTCAGTGTTTTAATGCTGTTTCAAACTGTTGGGAGACGTTCGATCTGTAATTAGCAATCGTTCGTTTCGTCGCGTTCGATTTTAGACGATTTTCCACGGTCCTCCGGTTTCTCATGCACGGAAGTTTGAGCTGCGGTGTTTCCAGTCGACGCCGACCTTCGGAATGCTAATGCGTGATTACGGCGGGGCCCGCGGTTGTAATACGTGAACTTTTTGTGCGACTCACGTGTGGCGGTGGCGGCGGACCGCTTAAAACATCCCTTAAATTACCCCCATTAGCAAGGGCTGAATGCCGGGTAAACGGGGATTTCACTGGCGGTGTTACGCGAGATTTATTCCGTAGGAAATATTCCTTTCGCCCGTTAAATTACATCGTTACGGACCGCCCGCCCCCTGCGTCCCGGCCCCGCCGGCTGACCTAAACACATGTGTAAGCTGATTCGCCGAGATTTTACACCGGGAAACGAAGCGTTCGCGGGTGGAATGCAAACGACACGCGCCTTCGATTCCCCGTGAACGCACGTTGGACAGTTTTACCTGAATATTGAAATATTTATCCTGTTTTATACGCAGAATGATTGTACATTTTGGAACTTGGTAAATACATTACTGCTTGCTCGAAGACTTCAAAGTTGAAGTATCGAGACACTTTTTCCGTAAATGGCTATCAGATATAATTCATTAACAGACATTGAAGCGATGAACATAGTTAAAGATTTAATTAACCAGAAAGTGTTGATTCGAAGAAGAAGAGACAATAGAGAGAAATATCGTCCTTTCCTCCTGCATTCTGAGATAACGACTTCGCAACACATTTACGCAACGAACGAATAGTACCGAACAAATATCACACGACCGACAATTATACGACCAGCCAGTGGAACCTACAGAAGCTAACAGATGAATCTCGAACGCGGTGCCCGCCGGTGACAGTAATAACTGGGACAAAGGGACCCCGGCACGTCTTTATCAACTTCTTTAATTTCCCGGAAACGAGTGGCAGTGCCTGGCGTGTCCTCCCGAAGGCGGGGGAGGATACACGGGACGATTTACAGAATTTAAACAGTCTCTGGGGATAAGGCGGTAGCATGGCAGGTCGGATTAGCAGGCTGCCGCCGTCGAAATAATTCCCTCTGTTGCCGTTGCTCGGCCGCCCCCTTCAACCTCCGGGGAAGGTTACGTCCTTCCTGCGGGATAAAACAAAACAGCCAGCGGAGTATATTAATGCTCGGCTTAATGTGGCCCGCCTAATTAATGGACCGACTCACCGGATGCCCGTGCTCTCGTCCCAAAAGTAAAAGATAACGCTTCCGAGCTCGCGCGCGGGGGGGCGCATTATTAAAGACAAAAGCGGCGACCGGCCGCCCCGCGCAATTTTTGCGGGGCGGCCGCCCCTTACGTGCGAGTAAGCTTGAAAATTTGCGTTTCAAGAATGACCCGGAGCTCGGCGGACAGGCTGGACCGTCGTGCACGGAAGGGTGCGAACGCGGAAAATCGTCTGCTTTTCCGCAAGCCGAGATTCCGGGGGTGGTGCGCTGGGAGTGTCACGGATGCTGCGAGGGCGGAGCCTTGAGAACTGCATCGAGACTGCCCAGTCACGTCGATAAATAGAGAGTGCCTCCTTTCCTCCGTTCGCGCTTCAAGGAAAACCGCTCGGTCTTCTCGACGAGGTTGTCAAGTGACGCGGAAAGTTTGACGAGTGAATTAACAATGGCCTTCGCGCGACGAAGGCGAAATCTATTTTACGTGAACGCGACGCGCCGCGGGGAACGCGAATAGAAACGACGAGGAGGTTCCATCGGGCTTTTAACCTGTCGTCGAAACCGAATCGTGGATTTTGCGAATGAAACCAGTGACTTTGTGGCAAATCGGAATACACAGATGTGTCCTCGACTGCGCGCACAGTCGATTGATACGTTCAGCTGCCGCGGAGTCCGCCGAGTGATGACGCTGTCAAAGTCACTTACGGTCCGGGGGAAACGGATGCCTCGGCGAGGAGGCACAATGCATGGAAATAATTTAATTAGATTCAGGAAGTTGGTTAACCAAGAAGATGTACCGATTGGAGGACATGTCGGCGGTCGTCGAACGTGTACGAAGATAATCGAATTATCGTCGCTTTGAGGAGCAGCGTCCGTGGATGATCTGATCACGTACCTGATGAACAGATCGCCAGCGATGCGAGCGGCTTTCGAAGGGTAGGCTCGCTCTCTCTCCATATCTCTCTCTCCCTCTCTCTCTCTCGCTCTCTCTTCCTCTGTGTCCCTCTCTCCTCGTCACTGTCCCTCTAGTCGCGGACCCTTCACGGGGTTACGTTCCAGCGAACCGTTTCCACTGTGCTCCGTCGGCTTTTCGACGACAGTAACTTCTCTGCCGAACAATTAAAGCCATGCGAACCACGAAAAGGTGGCCGGGATATCGGCGAATAACCGGCGTTAATGTTGCAAATTAGCGGAATTGCGGTTACCGTCGCGATAAGGTTTCATTAGAACTGCTGATTGATAACCTCCGTTCGAACGGTTAACGATTCGTCACGGTGTTTTAATAACTTCGTCGTTTCTGTTATTCGCGGCGGGACAACCGCGCGAGATACAGATAAGGAGATAAAGAGAGCGAGAGGAGAGAGGGAGAGGGAAGCCACGGGTGCACGAAAATTGCGGAACAAAGTGGAAATTGACCGACCGCATAGGGTCCGTGAAGGTTTTCGGGGTCGGCGGCGGTATTCGCGTTGGCTTCCGCAAGAATTTCGTGCGGTCGAATTCCAGTATACCTAACTGGAAAATACTTTCGTTATTATAGAATACACGCGTTCACTCGTTTCGCGTCTCAAAGGAAACAGTGTTTGTCATGGGGAACCGAAGAAGGCCCCCGGCGACGTTCGTGGGGATCGGTGCTATTCGTCGGTTAATCACCGCGCGATATATCACCGTGGAATATTTTTCGACGCGCGCATTAACGGTGATTTCAATCGACCTATAATAACAATAAAATGTATTAATACCGCGCATAAATTTTGGCCGGGTGCATTCGATCGGCGCGCGATTATTATGTGGGCAACTTTCCGCGCATTTGGATTTAATAGTTTGTATAATTTACCTGGCTAGTTGGTTATTCCATTAATCAACAGCGCTTGTACGAATATACATTTGCGAATAATAATTGCGCCATTATTTATGTCATATTCAATGTACCGATGACCGAGAAGGCGCGTAAATGGATTTAACGCAATTAATTAACTCGCTTTAATGTTGTTCCGGCTGTTGCCCCCGTTGTTCCGAAATGATAACAAGACACGATGCCCTGCACGCGCGATACCAATTACGGGACGCCACGTTTTCTTTCGAACGAGCCGAACGGGAACCGAGGCTCGTCCACGCGTGCTTCTAATATCTCAGTCTTTAGTAATTAACGTATCAAAGGCTCGGTATTAATATTTGCTTCGGAGTCTCAACCGCATAGAAGATATTAACGTCCCCGTAATATTGTGTCCAGGCTAAGGGGAGAGGACATATTGAAACCGCACAAACTTTGCTCATAGCATCCGCGGGTACTCGTAAATATACCGGGTGGTTTGGATCGAAGTGGTGGACTTAAGTCAGCGATGAAAATACACTCGAACTTTCATCCCCTTTTTACCCAAAAACCTGGTCATACCTACGTTATTAAACGTCTACATTACACTCAAAAGGAGCGTACCGATTCCTTAAAAAATAATTCCAACGGAAGTTACGTTTTTAAAACGGTACAACCCTCTAAACTGCCTCGCAACTTTCTGGAAAATCTATGTTAATTTTACTGTTTCAGTAATTCTTAATTTAAATGACCCCGTTACTCGCTACATTTCGAGCGAATAATTAGATAAGTTTTCAAAACGACAACGTTCGAAAGCTGGCATTCGGTCGAAATGTCTATATCACAATTCTAGAATACCGTGGATCGTACAAATCTAGCACACCGAAGCGAAGAGGCCGAAAAACACGGACGGCCGATTAAATAACCGTTAAATCCCTGAAATTTCGTTTAAATGGAGCACAGTGGGTCTCTACATACGTCTTCGGCCGAGAACAATTAATGTTTATCGGGAAGCTCGCAGCAGCCGTCGCCCGAGGAACCGGTGGCGTTTAAACGCGCAGTAAGTGGCGCGAGGCCGTGCGAGGGTGGGTCAAACTAATTCGATTCTAAACTCTGACCGCGCCGCGAGAAAGAGGCGACGCGACGGTGTGCGGCTCGGGTCGAGGAAAACCGCCCCCGCTTCAGGATGGACACAGATGGCACTAACCGCGCCGTTAAATTCTGGAACCTGTAACTCTAATTGCTCATAGACAAACGGACGTCCCAGTGCCAGATGCCGGTGAAACTTGTTAAAATCACGTGAGCCCGATTATTCATTCGATCCATTTCAGCCGGTGATTTAGCGTGTAAACTAATAGACCGGACAGCGGGGGAGGGGGTCCGGGCGAAAATTAATTAGTCGGCGCAATATAATAATCGTTCATCGTATTAATTGGCAGCCGGTATCGTATATGGACACCGGTCGAATCATAACAATCAATCAAGATACGGTTTCGGTTGCAGGTAACGAGGCAGCCGTCGAACGATTCAATAAAATGACGATGGATGTGAGCAAAAGCGAGCCAAGCAAGAAGGGTGCCACGCAACAGGAATGCGCGGGCTGCGGCAAACCGATCACCGAAAGGTAAACCTGCCCGTTTGATCGATTACGCGTCGCGCACGATTCGGACGGAAGAAACGGAGAGATCAACGCGTTCTTTGATTGAAGGTACCTCCTAAACGCGGTGGACATGTACTGGCACGAGGACTGCCTGAAGTGTAGCTGCTGTGCGTGCAGGCTCGTCGAGGTTGGAACGACGTTGTACACCAAGTCCAACCTGATACTCTGCAAAAGGGACTATTTAAGGTGAGTATTCGTTCAACTTTCGTAGGATTTTTGGAATAGATCGAAGATATCTTAGTGGACAACCGTGATACGGTCGCGATAGATGATCAGCTTGGCGCACTCGGTATCATGGAATAATATACGCAGAACCATTCCCATCGACTTCTCCGTTCGCTGGGAAACGTGGAAAGCAGACATTGATTTGTCGATACGCATTATAATTCCGTTTCCCCCGAAGCATCTCATCGCGCTGTTTCATTGCGTTCCCGCGAAGTCAATAAGAGAGCGCGGCTCACGTACGAGCAGTCCGGGCGAAGAGAGCGGAAGCAACAAATCGAATTTTACAGATGAGTTTCCCTTATTGAATACACCCGCGTCCCATATAAACAGGCGGGGGCAAATAAACCGTGTTGAGATTACAAAGTCCCGAGGGAACACGCGCAGGTGGCGGGTCCGCAAAGACCGCCGCCCCGCTATCGAAGCTTCGTGGTCTTTATTAATGGCCTAATATTTGAAGATGGCATATTCGTGGCGGCGGCGAGCTTATTGGTTCCCGCTGTACGCGAGCTAAAAGTCCTCTCTAATATAGACACGGGGGACAGCCAATATAGACTGTTCGAACTATAGCAACATGCTCGGACCGATAACAAGGGAAGCGGTTTTATTTTAGGGACGGCGAGCGTTCCTTTCGCCGGTTGATCAGTAAAAATCTGTTCGTTTCTCGATTCCGCAGACTGTTCGGGAGCACCGGACACTGCGCGGCCTGTAACAAATCCATACCCGCCTTCGAGTTAGTGATGAGGGCAAGGACCAATGTTTACCACTTGGAATGTTTCGCCTGTCAGCAGTGCAACCACAGGTAAGATATTATAATTGTTAATACAAGATCAACGAGAAACGAGTATCTCTGCATACAAATGAGGAAGACGTTAACAATTCTTAGTAAGATAGGCGAAGTTTAGCTTCGAAAATTAAACCTTTCAAATATGAAGCTTCACAGATTGTACAAGATATTATGTTTAAGTCGATTCTAGAATTAAATAGGCTTAGGATTCTAAATACTATAGCTATCAAGCCTCCATAAATCTATGAATACTAAGCTAAGGTTCGACCATCGCCAAAAGTAATGAATTTTTCCGAAATACAGCCGAAATGGTAATCAGCATGAATGACCCTTCATTCGGAGAATTGTATCAATGGAATTCATTGATTAAAGTTGGTAATAGTAGGATCTTTATACGACATTCTTGCGCTTTCCGCGAACGAAGACGCTTTATTCCCGGCAAAACGGATTATTCCGTCCCCACGGTGATCAGCATACTGACGCAGCTCCAGCCACACCGACGATATTATTTTATTAAATATAATGAGAGGCGGTGATTAAAGATTCACACCGGAGGGAGGCGGGAAAGTCGCTGGTTTCGAGGAGGTATTCGTCGTGGCAGCTCATCCGTTTAACAATTTAATTCGAGCCAGCCGGGCCGCGCGCCCGTAGGGGGAGGCGCGGCGCCGGCGAAACTTCTGCAGCACTTCGCAACACTTCGCTTACTTATTCACAACAACCAAGTTAAGCTGAAACTCGTTCGAGTCTGTGTTTAAGTCGGAACACCTCGGTGAATCCGCCGGATGAAGATAATCGGCGCAAGAATCGGGAACCCTTCGGCGGGCCCTGCCTCCGTCAGACTGGGTAATAAAGTCGAATTAGTTACACCGTGGCTTTCGTCTTTCTCCGGGTTTCCTCCTCCGCGGAATCTGAAATTGGCTACTTTCTATGAGACACCAACGGGATACATATCGTGATTTGATAGGAGCGTGACACCTGTCGCGGTGCAGTGACAAGAGGTGTCTTTCGTTGTAATCCGTTTACGGTATCGATTTTACTCGTGACTGTGATATTAACCATTGACAGGAAGGAGTCTTGCTGTTCTTGTTTACCCTGTTCATGTGTTACGGCGTGATACTGACGACCAGTAGAAACTCCGAGTTTTGTACATTTCGAGATCAAAGTACTATTGCTTCAATGGGCTCAACGATATATCAATTCTATTAGCATCAGTGTCGAAAGTTCGCGTGAAAAGAGACGTTCCCTCCCGGTCTGACCCATTAAACCGGCATATCTGACAAATGCATCTTTCTACGGAATCACGGTTCACCATTTCCCATCGCGTCCATCCGCGAAGCCCAAGGAAACCGTTCGGCTTCTGCTTCTATTTAAATATCGAGCGCGCGTCCGATGGTCTTTTTTCGGTTCTCGCGGGCACACAGCTGACGCGTTCGTCGGCCACGGTTCCGCGGGAAATATTCCGTTGATCCCTGAAAAACCGGATCCGCGTTCTACCCTTCGGGGGAGAGGCTCGCTGAAATTTCCAACCGGTGACGGGCGTAATTGACGTGAGAGGGCGCCCCTCGCGCGCGCGCGAGCGCCGGGTTGAGACATCCAGCCAAAAGAGAGGAGATCCGAGTGCCGGGGAGAGAGTCGGAGTTGCGAACTATGCGAGCGACGTGCAGGTGCCCGGAGGTGTACGTCAGATGCAAATCACGCCGACTAATTTCCCGGAAAACTAACGAATCCCGTGGGGAACGGGGTGGGGCGAAAAGAGCGCGAGCTGAGGGCACCGAACGCCTGCCGCGGGAGACGTCGCGCGGTGCGTGGCCGTGGCTCCGATAATCCGAAATTAGCGAATTAATTAATTTTCCTGGTCGGAATTATTCCGGGAATATTCAGGCAGCGGACGTTTTACCCCGACATTAACGGGAACGCCATCGATCGTGTCTGCGTAACGCGGAAGTATGGAGATCGGCTCGAATTGCCGGGTCGAAGCTGGCTCGAACGAGGGTTTCGCGGCATTTCGGCCGCCTAATGTCAGACCTCGGCATTTCCCTGACCTTTCTTGCTTCCATCTCGGATTAACGGGCTTCCGTTCGACCGGTATCAACCCGGTCTCGATGCGAACGCCGCGCGGCAGCTCCCTCGCGATCCGCATCGCGGATTAGTCTGATTTCCATGGCCGGTCGAACCGGCAACACGCTTTTGCTGGATTCCGAACGTAAATCTGCCCATTAAAAATTGAGCTTTTCCGTTCGCGACCGTGTAAGTTGGTTGTGTCGCGGTATAAAAGTTACAAGGGGTGGAAGGAAAGAGTGCAGCCGAGGAACGGGCCCGGCTAAAGGTTAGCCGGTCGGCGTGCTCTTTCGACGCGACGGTGCGCGGCGCACGTGACTATCGAGCGAAGCCGATTACTGCTTAAAGATACGTCGAAAGTATACTTTCTTTCGTGGTCGAAGGTAACGTGCAACCCTTAAGGCGAACCATTGGTCAGGGGTCGAAGCGGTTGACCGTAGCTAAAACGGAAACGGATGTGGCCGTTGGGTCACGCGATCTCCACGGGCCGAGCATAAAACACCTGAGTTGTTTAATCATACGCTCCTAACCCGAGTCGTACATCGTAAACTCGTAAGGGCAGGCCTCCGGTCTCAGTTGCCCAAACGCGATCCCTCCTCTTCCGCGGTCTCGGCCATCGAGATGTACGGCCGCGATAAAAGTACTCCGTTTATCCATTAACAGCCACCGTCCATCGGTAAATGCCGTTGATGGAATTGTCGAGCGGTGCACGGCCTTCCGTATGAAGCCGTGGCGCTTGCGCGATTACTGGGTAATCGACACTAGTTGGGTTAATAGGCTTCCTTTCATTGTTTTCTTTAATGTTCGCTGATGATATTGGTTTATAGTATTAATTACTGAATTATCAAATAGAATACGATATAATTGATATTTTCGTATTCACGATGGAGCTTGATATTTCATCCGTGTAATTTATGAAACTATGGAGTCCATTGCGATGAATACAGATAAACGAATCAAGTGATAACTATAAGTCTCCCACTATTGTCGCAAAACCGCTTCGATTTGCTAGAAAGCGTGCACAGCCGAAGGCCATCGAAAACTTTCGGAAGACGTCATGATCGATGGACGAGTGGCAATTAAACTTGTTCGGTAGTCTCGGGGGACGGCGCGAAAGACGCGAAGCTTTTTCGACTTGCGATCCGCCGACCGACGTAACTTCGAGCCGCCCTTTGTCTACGTAAGCAGCGCGGGGCATTGTTGAGCCGGTGTGCGGCTCCTCCCTCGCAGGAGTACAACTCATTGTTCGCGCTTATATTGTACTTAGGCATTACGAGTCCGCCCGGTTTAATTGTTATTGTTCCGCGGCGCTTATCGAACCCGTTGCCCTGCTGCATTCCCACGCGAGTCATCGCCTAGCCTGGCAATTACTCGAAAATCATTAAACTCCCTTCAGCCGGCTACGAAACGGCGAAACAGCCGCGGGACCGTTAACAGATGCACGTCCGGATAAGGTGTCCGCGGGGCGAACCGACGAAAAGATCCCGATGAAAACGCAACGGCCGCGTTCAACGTCGACGGGGATTGCTCCCGGTGAATGCCGAACCCCCGGCGATGTACGCGCGAAGACAGCATTTCGGTGTTCGCGGCGAGGCGACCGGCGCGCGGTACAATGCAAAGTAAACTTCGCGTTACGAATTCACAGCTCCTCGAGAGGGTAGGCAGAGAGAAGCGTATCGGCGAGGTCTGAGGAGAAAGGTCGGGGTGGAAAGAGGCGAGCCGCGTAGAAGGGAGCGGCCATTTTGTTTCCGGTGTCCCGGGAGCACTTCCGGTCACCGTCACGCAGTTCTGCGTCGCGAAGTGCCCCCGAGCTCCTGAGATCTCCTTCCACGATTATATTCAAATTAAATGCGGGAGTCTGACCGGTAATATACTGCCGCCAATTTAGCTACAACCCCCCGGAGGGTGGTTCGCCTTACCTCGTTCGCCGGCCATCCGACTTTAGCAACCCCGGGAAGAATCCGGCCGAGCCGGCTTTCTATCTGGCCCCGTTGATCGCGCGTGCCGAAAGCGCACGACCGAGCACGCCGACCCCGGGGCGAACCTCGCCCCGGTCGCGAACCGAAAATCGCGTTGCCCGACCGTTCCTCCGGTCTCTCCCTTTTTCAAGCCTCCCATTTGTTTTCCCGTAGATCGCTGCGACGCGACACGGCGCGACGCGAGGTAACCGTGAGCCAAGTGGATCGATCGGACGCGAAAATTTCGGGTACGCGCCCGACGGAAAAACAACACCGTTTGCCGGTAGAGTCTCGCGATCGCCAATAAACGCGCGACAAGCAAGGAATTCGCTTCCGGTTTTCGACGCGAAGCTTGGCCGCGTATCGCGTTCAAGCGCCGCTGCATCCGAACAGTGGGGTTTCAGTTGCACCATTTTCAATGGTGATAATCCGACGTACCGGGGGCCCTCGTTGCACGTACCGAACCAGCTTTGTCACCGGATAACCTAGACTCGCATTGCCGGCTCCGGTAGCGACAGCGATAGAACCAACCCCTCCTCCCGCCTGCGCGTCCACCCCCGGCTACCGCGCCCCTTCTCCTTCTCCTCCTTTTACTCTTCACCTCTCCTCTCACCGCACACCCCGTGCCGTCGGCCATCCCCTTTCAACCGACCCGTTTCATCCCCTTCGCCGAGGCTACCTTCGAAACTGGCTGCCTGTCCCCCTTCCTACCCCCCTCGGCCGGTGTGCGCGCCCGCGCCTCTTCGCATGGCGCACAAGCTCGCGGTAATAGACGTTCCGGCGCGATTATAAATGAAACGCGTGACACGTACGATCGAATTACCTGAACGATCGCCGGACACTCCGACCCGGCCCGGCGCGACGCCCGGCTGACCTGCGGGAAATCGAGAGCCGCACGCCTCTGTCGTAACGAGCTCGCATTCATCCTGGAGCGTTCCGCTGTCCCGGGAATCACGACTGCGATAAGCATATTTAAAAGTGGACCCGGTCTGCGGGGAT